AATTGGATGAGCATATGCACACGTGATATGTGATATAAGAAATGATATGAGCACATGAAAATATGAGAGTTTCCAAAGTGAAACACAAGGCTATAGACCTGAAGGTAATAGCATTCACCTGCCCTGGCCAGGCAGGGAGAAGAGTGAAAACCTCAGGGAATGCCTGTATAAGATTAGAGAATGATTCATGATGTTGAATGATATTTCGATGTGTTTACAATGTTATATTTTGTTAACTCATAGAATGAATGTATTAAGTTAGTTAAAAGATTTAGGAGCACCTAAGTTCAAAGGTGAATTTGAGGAATGTTCTATTGTTACAGACATTTGGTTAAAGGATATGAAGAAAATGTTAAACGGTTTTCATTTCTCCAAAACGGAGAAGTTAAATTGAAAAGTTTCGTTACTACATGTGCAAGTTAGAGTATGGTGAACCAATGTCACCATAAGAATATTAAAAGATCAAGTGACGTGGTTATTATTTGTAAAAAGGGTTCAAGAATAAGTGCATCAGTGATACGTTTATAAGATGAATGAAATCAGAATTATGAATTCGAAACCAAGGGATAGTACTGTGTATAAGCAAGAGTGTGGATATGATAAGAGTTTGTATTCTAGATGGAAAGAGTTAGCATTGGCTAACAAGAGTATGTGATGAAAATGTAATGGAATTATAATATATTGACAGGTTATGATAACCAAATATGAAGAGGATTTGGATACAGTTGTATAGTTTGATCATAGTAAGGTGTTGTAGTGAAGAAGAGAAAGATTTGTATGTTTGAAGGAAATACAAGTACAATAGATGATAAGAATGAGGTTCTGTACAAGTAAAGTTGATTATCAAAGTTATGAAAAGATATAGTTTAGTTATGTTATAAGAAGATTTTGATAATGAAAGGATTAAATATGATAAAGGATTATAAGGATGTGTAGATTATAAGTTTGATTAGAAGTAAGAAAAGTATGTAAGGTTATATGAAGAGATTATGTGTATCGTAATATAGACAATGATGAAAGAATGAGTAAAAGTTTGGATTGTGGCACATTAATTAGAAAATGAGGAAAGGAATCAATTGATTGATTTTTTTTATTTGAGTGATAAGAATTGATGTTAATGTCTACAGGATGAGTAACATTATGTGGATTTTAGAAAGGTCAAAGGAAAAATGCATAATCGAATGAGAAAAAAAAAACAGAAATGGATTGATGTTATTGGTTATTGTTTATATGATAAGCAACAAAAGATGAACGTATAAACGAAAAAGATAGTTGGAAACTAAAGGATTGAAAAGTAAGTTTCTGATGATGACAAGAAAGAATAAGTCAAGGAAGCAACATAAGAACATTAGAAGGTATGTTCTTATTATGATGTGCAGTGAAAATTCGAGGATGAATTTTCTTATAAGGAGGGGAGAGTTGTAACACCCCAAACTATGAGTTAGTGACTAAATGGTAAACTTTCAGAATTTGGTGATTAAAGTAGAAGAATGGATTAGTTCAATGATTTATCTGGAAATAAATCCTAAAAGATGTTAGTAATTATAAAAGGTATTAAAGGGCAAAAGGGTCATTTGACCAAGAGATGAATTAAATAATGATATATATATATATGGATAAGGATGAGAGATTTTCCAGAAATCTCTTCTCTCTTTTCTTCTTCATCTTCTTCTTCCTCCCGTGAAAGCTCCAAGGCAAAGGTAAGATTCCTTGTTAGCTGATGATTTGTTGATTTTAAGAGTGGGTTTTGATCCTTAGGTAATACTTAAGATTATGGAAAGCTTAGGTTGTCCTAAAATCAAAAGATAAAGGAGATAGAGAAGATTAAAGATTAGTGGTTCTTGAATGAAATCTTGAAATAGAGTTTATAATAAGAATTGAAAGTTGGATTTGACTTGTCATCAATCTAAGTAAGAGATATGAAGTAATATAATTGGATTTAAAACATGTTGCAAAATTGATGTAATTATTGAATTACATATAGAAGATAGGATTTTTAGGTTTAAGATGAAATAAATGAGTATAGATTGGTTTAAGTATGTGTACTAGAGTTAAGAATGAAAAAGGGGATGAAACATGAAGGATTTAAGCCAAAATGAATGAATTTTCGGGTTTAAAAAGAGGATTATGGGCAGAGTGCATCGATGCATATTCATTGTGCATCGATGCATCAATGTTAAAAACCAGAAATTTGTTTGAAGGTGTATCGATGCACAGGTAGTGCATCGATGCACTCTTTTAAAATAGAAACATCGAATGAAATTAGTGCATCGATGCATAAGGCATGCATCGATGCATCCCAATAATAATACAACATCGAATGTATTTTATGCACCGATGCATCAGTAGTGCATCGATGCATACCCTTATTGAAAAAAGAAATTGGCATTTATCTTAATCTAAAGAGTGAACCATTAGAGTATATTAGTTATAATACTAATATAGATCTATGTATGATTATGTAGATATAGAACGTGATCCCGTTCTGAATTAATTGAAGGATTAGAATCGAATCAAAGAAAAGCTAAGGTGAGTGCACATTATTTAGTATATGATGTTAAATGGAAAATAAGACTTATGATAAGTCTATTTCCAATAGTAAAATGCATGAATTCATAGAGGTATGTGTTTGTTATGATTTATATGTGTGCATGAGTATATGTGTTATTGATATGATTCTATGATCATAGGATGTAAACTATGTGATAAGTGATAAGTGACTATATGAAATTATATGAGAACAAGAGATAACAATGATTTACATGTCATATGAAAACCAAAGAAGTGTTATAAGCAAAGTGAGATAAACAAAGTATGGTTGATATAGGGTAATATAAGAATAGCTCATAGGTTATATGATAAAGATGGAACCATATAGGAACATTAATTGAGTACTTGATAATAAGTCATAAGGTTATATGAATAGGTAATATAAGTTATAAGATGAGAATATATATGAATATCAAATAAGTTATGAGATAAGTTATATGACATTGATATATATGCTAAATGAAAGTATACACATGAATACATATATAAGTTTATATGTTATTTTATATGCTATGGGATATACCCATGAACATATGTGATGTGATATATGTTATGAGAAATGACCCATGCGACTAAGTGTGAATTGATATAAGTATGTGATATGAAGTTATGGGTATATGTGTCATATGTTATTATAGGTGATATGATAAAATCGTGAGCCTATATGATTATGTGTTATATGTTACATGATATGACATGCGAGTTACATGAACAAATGAGAAATGATATAAGTCATTTGAAACGATCTACGTGAATACATGCACTTGTGATACATGTGATATGATATGAGATATATGGTTACACATACATGTGGTATGTGACAGAAGAGAAATAACAAGTGATATGAAATGTTATAAATGATAATGCTTCATGTTATGTGATATGAGAGCTAGGGGTATAGTTGGCATGCCAAGAGTCGAGAGTATACCTATGTTCTACGGAACATATGGACATAATTACCTATGTCTTTCGAGACATATGGACAGTATACCTATGTTCTAAGGAACATATGGACAATTTACCTAGGTTCTTCGAAACCTATGGACAGTTGCCGAGGATCTTTATGACCTCTGGATAGTTACCGAGGATCTTTATGACCTCTGGATAGGTCCTTCGGAACATTGATCGAGCTGTGGTGACAGCATATGTGTGCACAACCTCAATGTACTCACATACCTTAAGTTCTCACTAGTGTACATGGGCTAATAAAGAGATTAAACAAACATACTGAATGTGATATGTATACGATGGGTTTATAAATGGTTATCAAAAGTAAGTGGTTTAAAATGTGTTACATGAACCATATGATGTTATATGTGTTTCTTAATGATAATGATAGAGATTATGATAATGATGGTATATGTTTATGTATGCTTTATGTTATATGAAATATCATATGTTTTATATGCCTCACTAAGTCATCGACTTAGCGTGTGATTGTTTCACACGTAGGTTTGGAAAGCGAAAAGAGAAGTAAAGAGGAACAAGACAGGTCAGTTCTCCTTACCGAATGTCAGATCAGAAGAGAGGTGAATAATATGTATTTTTGTATATAAAGTTCTAGTTGGCATGTAATCAAAAGAAAATATTGTATAAGCTCTGAATAGTTTTGTAAATGTTTTGAATAAGTTAAATCTTATAAAAGTTTTTAAAATTACTCACTATTTTATACGAATAAATGTTTGAAAAGTCAATGTGACACTTCAGACTCGTATCCGGGTTGGATACGGGTTGGGGGTGTTACACCATAGGTCGCCAAGTGCTCCATAGGTCGCCAAGTGCTCCTTGCGACAAAGCCTCTTCTGTTGCAGCAACTCTTCTCTGTTCCCTCGCTGTTGCAGCTCCATAGGTCGCCGTGTGCTTCTGGAGACCTATGGAGGTCGCCATATGCTCCTGGAGACATATGGTGGTCGCAATCACCCTACTTAAGCAAATAATTGTTCGATTGCACTATACGAACAATTTTTTTTCTATTGCATTATTCAAACTCTTTTGCCTTTAAAATCTGATATATCATTTAATTAATATTTTAAAACATGCTGATTTTTTAAAAAAAGAAATTAAAGATTTAATTGATTGAAGCTGTTATTGTTAAATTTCTTGGAGGCATTATGTTTAATTATCTTTAAACATACATTAATCTTCAATTTCGTTACTGACCGAAGCTTAATCGAATAATCTATGGCGATGAGAGCCTCCACCTGTTTGTAAAAATACGGGTGAGACTTCATATTTGACCCATGTTGTTAAGCAATTGTGTGCCATCTGAAAATTTGGAGCTCACTGCTCAGCATACCATCTTTGATGCTTCCGAATTTCTCTTCACCTCAAATTCTTCAATCACGTAACAACAATTTTGTTCATGCTTTATTTGACTTTATTTTCTTCTAATTAAAGCGAGCTAATGTTGCAGAATCATGGATTGAGCTTATGATTGGTTCCCTTAAGGCTATTATATCCAACAAAACTTCACATTTCCCAGTACAACACTTGAAGTATTTTTTCTACTAAACTCATCATCATCATCATCATCATTTCTATTGTGCTTACACAAATTTAAATTAAAGAAACCCTAGAACAACAACAACAGAGGAATACTATTTTTGGATGGCTTCCTATTTACAAGGTCACTCCCATTTTGGTTGTGAAAGTAAAACATATGGTCGAGGAAGAATTTCCTGCATGTTGTCTTATCTGGTTTGGAAGTTGAGTGTCTTTATGCAGTAGGCAAACATGAAGGCGAAGAACACTGCAAAGCCAACCAAAACTGCAGCAACTGGTCCCATGAAGTCCGAATCGTAGCTGTATTGTCTTTGATATACCATTTAATGGTAGGGTCAGGCGTGATGCCTGGTGCTTTAATGGTGTCTTCGATATCTCCGTACTGTGACACAATCAGTCCGTAAACGGTCAATGCAACTGGGAAGATCCAGTAATACCATACCCACCACTTGGGAATTCCTGTAAATTCAAGAAAGGGACTGATATCAGCTTTGATTGTGAGTGTGATTTTAACAAAAATGATTTCTTGTGAAACACGTAAACCTACCGGTCTTGGAATAAAGAAGCCGGAGAAAAGATTAAAGAGTGAATAGAAAGCTGCAGGGAAAATATTGGAAACAATCATCATTCCATAGAATGTGAAGTAAAGGAAGGAGAAGAAGTTGATGAAGAAGAACCAGAAGAACTTTGCTGCCGTCCATTGAAAGCTCACCATAGCATACACAATAAGCGTATAGTATGTTGTTTGGACAAAAATGTAAGGAATCTCACAAAACACCTGCATGCCACATAATTATGGTTTAGTCATCTAGCAGTTCAATCATTTGAACTTATTAGAGATACTAGTGAAATCAATGGCCTTTCTCTCACCTGTACAAGGGCATACGGTAATGCAGAGTACATTTCGGCTGCTCTTTCACGATAGAACATTGTCCTTTCAATGGCTGACTGGTTGAACTGTTGAGCAGTTATTGATTCCGACAAACAAGACCGCAGCATACATTGCCCCAATTATCATTGTAAGATCAGTTGTGGATTCCCTGAACAGTTGAACAAAGAGCACGGAGAATGTAATCAGTTTGTAAGTATTTTATCAAAAAGATTAAGAAATCTAAGCATTATAAACATGAAAATAGGTACAGACCTTTTAGTGCCGACCCGCCAGAAAATAGTACCAACCATGAGTGCAGAGACCAAAGTGAAGAAGTATCTGACAAGGTTATAATCTGGACTTCTCCAATAAGTCCACCATTGCTTCCAAAGCCATGATATGAATTGGGCCCATGTCGATTGCGAGTATTGTGTGGTGAAATAGAGGTCTTTTGCTCCAGGGGGTGGTGTGCTCAACTCATTTACTAACACCTTGTTTCTCCTGTTCACAGATGCATAAATTAGCTCAGCATAAAAGAAAGGTAAAACAGTTGAACTAGGGTCTCTATTGCTTATGTCTCTACTTACTGATACAGAGAGGTCGACTTATAGTACTCGGCAAAGTCCATTCCGAGCCTAAATTCAGCACCTACGGTGCTCACTTATAGCATCCATGTTGCCGGGTTGTACTTGTCCTTAATTTTGGGGATTCCATGAATGGGCTGCAATGATGAATAAGAGATGAATGAAAAATCAGATGAGGCCTTCTTTTTCATCTTTAAATTAGTGTTTTAGATATTGAAGATCCTGCTATAGTTACATACCTCAAAATATTTAATGATCTTATGAGAGTTCCGACCTAGTGGTCCAGAGTAAATCACATGACCTCCTCTTTTCATCAGTAGCAACTCATCAAAAGCTTCAAACATATCAATGCTAGGCAGAGAATAGTGCAGACAACTGTTCTTCTAGTATCCACAGTGTTTCTGACAGTCCTCATGACAATGGTTGCCGCTCTTGCGTCGAGGCCAGATGTTGGTTCATCCATGAAAATAATTGAGGGATTAACAACAAGCTCTACTTCAATTATCAACCTCTTTATTTGCTCAGTTGACAATCCTGTGACTCCTGGAAGCCCTACTTGTTATGTTTGACTTGCAAATTGTCAAATTTGGCAAGTTGGCAAAGTTGACAAGTTGGTTGGTGACCAACTTGTACACATTGGAAAATTCATCTTTGGTAGGTGCCAAACTTGTTCACATGAGAATTTCATCTTTGGTCCCTAAAATATTAGGTTATTTATAAGTTTAGTCCTTAAAACTCAACTATAAATAGGCCTAAGTATTTCATTAAAAATCATCCCAAAACAAGTTTTCTCTTCCATTCGTTTTCTTCATTCTCTCACTTTGGGAATTCTAAAGAATTCCATTTGTTGTAATATTTGTTGATAGTGAAGTTATCATCCGGTGTGGTGCCCGAGGAGTAGACGATATTCTCGTCGAACCTCTTAAATTTGGTGTGTTATCTCCTTTATTGTTTTTTATTCGGTTTTTACATTGTGTTTCATTATTCAATAGTTTGACGGGTTTATCCGCTGTGCAATCTTTGGTGGTTTTGATCTTAATATTTCAAATCAATTTTGAAACTATGTTTGTATGGGAAATAACCCGGTTTCCCCAATAATTGGCATCAGAGCTTCGATTGAGGTTATCCTGGTGGTCATGTTGTTGAAAAGATACAGTTCGTGCTATTGAATATTGTTCGTTAGAATTAAAATGCCAAAATACGGATCAGTTGAGACATCGAGCTCTTCATCTGTACCGGTGAGGAGGGTGATGTCAAATGCAAACTTCTCGGTAGAGTTGTTCGATAGATCCAGTCATTTTGGCATGTGGCAAGGCGAGGTGTTAGACGTTTTATTCCAACAAGGTCTAGAAATCGCTATTGAGGAAGAAAAGCCCATAGATATGGAGGAGAAAGAGTGGAGAACAATCAATCGTTTGGCGTGCAACATGATTTGATCTTGTCTTTTCAGGGAGCAGAAGTATGACTACAAGAATGAGAGTTCTGCAAGTAAGATGTGGAAAAAACTCTCAGAATCGTCTCCACATGAAGAAAATATTGTTTAGATTTGATTATCAATCAGTCACCGGTATGAATGAACATATCACTGCTTCAAATGAGCTAGTGGCAGACTTATTGGGCATGAATGAAACCTTCAAAGATGAAGATTTAACTTTGATGTTGTTGTCATCTCTTCCAGATGAATTTGAGCACCTTGAGACAACATTACTTCACGATAAGGATAATGTTACCTTTAATGATGTAACTGCTGTTTTGTATAGTTATGAGCTCAGAAGAAAACCAACAAGGAGAGCAAGTATGAAAAAGCGAAGGCCATGGTGGCAAGAGGTCACTCAAAAAGTCAAAATTCAAAGTGAAGAGGGAGATCAAAGTCGAAGTCCAGACTGAGAAAAGATAAATGTGCCTTTTATCATGAGAAATACCATTGAAAGAAAGATTGTCCGAAGCTGAAGAAGAAAGGAAAAGCTTCTCCAGATGCATGTTTTGCAGAGCATGATGCCAATGAATCTGACATATCATTAGTTGCTTCATCATCAACATTCCATTCAGATGAATGGATATTAGATTTGCACCTATCATATGTCCCCTAATCGGGAGTGGTTCTCTAATTTAGTAGAACTAAATACATGAGTTTTTATATGGGTAATGATAATGCCTATAAAATTGTTGGGATAGGTTCAATTCGATTGAAGAATCAAGAAGGATCAACCAGAGTTCTGATTGATGTCCGATACGTGCCCAGTTTGAAGAAAAATCTCATATCGTTGGGAGCCTTGGAATCAAAAGGCTCAGTAGTCACTATGAGAGATAGAGTTTTAAAAGTCACATCTGGCGCACTTGTGATGATGAAGGGCATCAGGAATATTACTACCAAGGTAGTACAATTATTGAAGCAGTTGCAGCAGCTTTCGGAGGAGATGATTTGGACACAACCCAGTTGTGGCATATGCAGTTGGGACATGTTGGGGAGAAATCCTTGCAAATTTTGGCAAAGAAAGGATTGTTGAAAGGTGAAAATGCTTGCAAATTGAACTTTTGCGAGCATTGTGTTCTGGGAAAGCATAAGAGAGTGAAGTTTGACACCACTATACATAATACAAAAGGTATTGTGGATTATATTCACTCAGATATGTGGGGTCCTTCCAAGACACCGTCTTTGGGAGGAAAACATCATTTTGTAAGTTTTGTAGATGACTTTTCCAGAAGATTTTGGTTGTATCCAATGAAGTCTAAAGATGAAGTGCTCAGAATTTTCCTTAAATGAAAAAATATGATCGAGAACCAGACTGGTAGAAAGATCAGACGTCTTAGGACGGACAATGGAGGGGAATATAAAAGTGACCTATTCTTTGACGTTTTCCATGAGTATGATATTGTTCAACACTTCACTGTTAGAAATACACCACAACAGAATGGGGTGGAAGAGCGTATGAATCGAACACTATTGGAGAAAGTTCGATGTATGTTGTCTAATGCTGGGTCAAGTAAGGAATTTTGGGCTGAGGCTGTGACATATGCTGGCCATCTCATTAATTGTCTGCCATCATCAGTGATAGGAGGAAAAATACCATTGGAGGTAAGGTCTGGAAAACCTGCTATTGATTATGATTCCTTACATGTATTTGGATCCATTACTTATTATCATATGAAGGAATCCTAGTTTGATCCAAGAGCAAAGAAGGATCTCTTTATGGGAATCACCCATGAGTGAAGGGATTTTGCCTTTGGTGTTTAGACACCAAGAAGATAATTTGTAGCAGAGATGTTACCTTTGATGAATCTGCCCTAGTAAATAATGTAACAAATGAAGCTGTCTAGACAAGTAGTACTCCGCAGGAGGTGGAGTATACTCCAAAACAGGTGGAGTTTCAGCAGACGATGATCCCAGAAGTTGATACAACTGATTCTTCAACTCCAATAGAAGAATTAGAAGATGAAGAGGTTCAAACCCAAGAACCATTGGAGACACCAGAACCACTTGAAGTTACAAGGCCAAGGAGAGAAATTGGCAGACCTGCTTGATTTGTTGATTTGGTGGCCTATGCTATTCCAGTTGTTGATGATGATATCCCTATCACTTACCAAGAAGCAATACAAAGCTAGGAAAGTGATAAGTTGAAAAGTGTCATGGATGAAGAAATGCAATCTTTCCAAAAGAACAACACTTAGAAATTGACATAATTACCGAAAGGTAAAAGAGCAATTAGATGCAAGTAGGTATTTGAAAAGAAAGATGGATCTCATGGTAAGAAAAATGTTCGCTACAAGGCAAGGTTGGTAGCTAAAGGTTACGCTCAAAAGGTGAGAATCGACTACAATTAAGTATTTTCCCCGGTTGTGAAGCATTCCTCCATTAGAATAATGTTGGCCTTGGTAGCACAGTTGAATTTGAAGCTAGCTCAACTTGACGTAAAGACGACTTTCTTGCACGGTGATTTAGAAGAGAATATCTATATGACTCACCAGAAGGATATAAAGATGGTGGTTATGAGAAATGGGTTTGTAAGCTGAATAAATCGCTATATGGATTAAAGCAATCTCCGAGGCAGTGGTACAAGTGATTTGGTAGCTTTATGAGGAGGCAAAAGTACACTAGAAGCAAATATGATCATTGTGTGTATTTGAAAAAGCTCAAAGATGGATCTTTCATTTATCTAGGTTAGGCCAAGAAGATTCTTGGTATGGAGATAAGCAGAGATAGACAGAGAGGGAAACTTTGTTTAACTCAGAAGCAGTATATGAGAAATGTATTACAATGTTTTGGTATGAATGAAAATACCAAACATGTAAGTATCCCACTGGCTTGTCATTTGAAACTTAGTTCTTAGTTATCTCCTAAAACTAACGAAGAACGAGTGTATATGGCAAAAGTTCCATATGTTAATGCAGTTGGGAGCTTGATGTATGCAATGGTGTGTACGCGTCCTGACATTTCACAAGCTATTGGAGTTGTGAGCAGGTACATGCATGATCCTGGAAAAGGACATTGGCAAGCTGTGAAATGGATTCTACGGTATCTCCAACAAACCGTGGATGTTGGTTTAGTTTTTGAACAAGATGAAATACTTGGTCAGTGTGTGGTTGGATATGTTGATTCCGACTATACTGGTGATTTGGATAAGCATCAATCAACTACTGGGTATTTTTTTACTCTTGCTAAAGACCCAGTAAGTTGAAAGTCTACTTTGCAATCTACGGTGGCTTTGTCTACTATAGAGGTAGAATACATGGTAGTTTCAGAGGATGTGAAGGAAACAATTTGGCTTAACGGGTTGATGGAAGATTTGAGAGTTGTTCAAAGTCACATTAGTCTCTATTGTGACAGTCATAACGCTATTCACTTAGCGAAAAATCAAGTCTACCATTCAAGGACTAAGCATATCGATGTGAGGTATCACTTTGTGCGGGAGATCTTTGAAGAAGGAAAGATTCTACTTCAGAAAATTACAATAGCCGAAAATCATGCAGATATAATGACCAAGGTGGTAACAGTAATCAAGTTCAATTATTGTTTGAACTTGATTAACATCCTGAATGTATGAACACCTTCGGGTGTGTGGCGCTTGTGAGCGCAATTAGATGCACTACATTAAAATAACTTCATCAAATTTAGGGAGTTGAAGAAGTTGAGTAAGATTGGTAATTTTAAGCCAAGGTGGAGATTTGTTATGTTTGGCTTGCAAATTGTTAGATTTGGCAAGTTGGCAAAGTTGACAAGTTGGTTGGTGACCAACTTGTACACATTGGAAAATTCATCTTTGGTAGGTGGCCAACTTGTACACATTGGAAAATTCATCTTTGGTAGGTGGCCAAACTTGTGCACATGAGAATTTCATCTTTGGTCCATAAAATATTAGGTTATTTATAAGATTAGTCCTAAAACTAAATTATAAACAGGCCTAAGTATTTCATTAGAAATCATCCCAAAACAAGTTTTCTCTACATTCGTTTTCTTCATTCTCTTACTTTGAGAATTCTAAAGAATTCCATTTGCTGTAATATTTGTTGATAGTGAAGTTATCATCCGGTGTGGTGCCCGAGGAGTAGACGATATTCTCATCGGACCTCATAAATTTGGTGTGTTCTCTCCTTTATTATTTTTTATTTGGTTTTTACACTATGTTTTAATATTCAATAGTTTGACGGGTTTATCCGCTGTGCAATCTTTGGTGGTTTTGATCTTGATATTTCAAATCAATTTTGAAACTACGTTCATAGGAAATAACCGGTTTCCCCAACACCACTATGGCATCCTTGAGGTTGTATAGTTCTACCATTTGTTAGAAGAAAAGTCAAAGGGGGCACCAGCTTGCTTGGTGGGGGCACCGGCTTTGCTTGATATTTTTCAACAAAGGCAGCACATGGGCTGCTAGCTAAATGGGCGGCTGAGCAAGTGGGGCGGCTTGAATTCATTGAATTTGAGCAATGGGATAATCACACATTTAATCATTGTATTTTAGGGTATGTTCAAAGATTAGTCCCTAAGCTTCAACTATAAATACCCTAGCTCATTTAGCTTCAAAATTATCCCAAAATCTTCCAGTTCTCTCTCAAGTGTATTTTGTAAACACCTGTAATTTTTCCCTTTAGTAAAAGATCTGCAGCAGTCCGGAGACGTAAGCACAATTGGCTGAACTCCGTTATGAATTTTTCGGGTATTATTTTTCCGCTTTTATTTCGTATTCTCACAAATCTGGCTATAGGAAAATTACTCGTACCCGGTTTATTTCCCAACAACTAGTAATCAGAGCTTTTGAGTTGTGAATTTTGTCAATTTTTTGCGAGGTTACTATTTATTACTATTCATGTAAATAGTAAATTTCGTGAATAGTGAAATTTTGTCGGCGATACGAATTTGTCGACGGAGGTGTTATAATACACGGTGGTTCGCACAAATTGTCAGAAACGATCCGAAGAAGCCAGATTCGAGTGGGAGCGATGGTTGCAGACGAAGGGAATGTGAAAATTGAAAAGTTCGATGGTGCGGACTTTGGCTTTTGGAAGATGCAGATCGAAGATTTTCTGTACCAAAAAAATCTATATCAACCCCTCTCAGGAAAGCAACCAAAGGGCATGAAGAATGAAGACTGGGCTCTTCTCGACCGACAAGCCCTCGGAGTTATCCGACTGACGTTGTCCCGAAATGTTGCTTTCAACATAGCAAAGTAAAATACCACGGCGGGTCTTATGGCGGCTCTCTCCAGTATGTATGAGAAGCCATCGGCCTCAAACAAAGTTCATTTGATGAGACGATTATTCAATTTGCGGATGACGGAAGGGGCATCAGTGGCTCAACACCTGAATGAACTCAACACAATCACAAACCAGTTGAGTTCCGTGGAAATTGAATTTGATGATGAAGTTCGAGCTTTAATTCTCTTATCATCTCTACCAGACAGTTAGAATGCTATTGTTACAGCAGTTAGCAGCTCGTCGGGAAATAGTAAATTGAAATTCGATGATGTTCAGGATCTAGTACTTAGCGAAGAAATTCGACGGAGAGAATCGGGTGAAGCATCAACCTCCTCAACCTTGCACACGGAGTCCAGAGGGAGAACTTCAGAAAGAAATTCAAATCGTGGCAGATCGAAATCCAGAAGGGGCAAATCAAGAACATGAAAAAAAGATTTTACCTGTTATAATTGTGGCAAGAAGGGTCACTTTAAAAGAGATTGTCGAGCACTGAAGAAAGATACCGGTGCACAGGAATCTGCCAACATGAGAGAGGAGACAGGTGATGCCATGATTCTAAGCGTCAACACTCCGATTGAATCATGGATCTTGGAATCAGGGGCATCTTTCCACTCCACCCCATGCCGAGAAATCATGGAGAACTATATCAGTTGTGATTTTGGGAAGGTTCATCTAGCCGATGATGAAACCTTGAAGATCGTCGGAAAAGGAGACATCCGATTAAAGTTGCCAAACCAGACCACCTGGACGCTGAAAGGTGTGAGACATATTCCTGGTCTCAAAATAAATTTGATTTCTGTTGGACAACTTGATGGAGAATGATATATCACAACTTTTTCAGACTGTGAATGCAAGATTACCAAAAGAGCACTCGTCATTGCTCGTGGTAAGAAAACTTGTACTCTCTATGTAACCTCAAATTTAGAGAATATCATTACAACCGCAGATGCTGATGGAAAATCAAACCTATGGCACCAAAGGCTTGGCCATATGAGCAAGAAAGGGATGAAGACGATTTTGTCAAAAGGGAAACTGCCGGATCTAAAGAATGTAGATGTCGGACTATGCGAGGATTGCATCTTTGGAAAATAAAAGAAAGTCAGCTTTGCAAAGATTGGTAAGACACCCAAGGTTGAAAAGTTAGAGTTGGTTCATACTGATGTATGGGGACCATCTCCAGTTCCATCTCTTGCAGGCTCACTATATTATGTCGCCTTCATCGATGATTCTACAAGGAAGGTGTGGGTTTATTTTCTGAAGAAGAAATCAGAAGTTGATACATTCAGAAAATAGAAGGCCATGGTGGAAAATGAGATTGGTCTGAAAGTCAAGCGATTGAGGTCTGACAATGGAGGAGAGTACAGAAATAGGAGATTAAGAGACTTCTGCGCAAACAATGGGATCAAGATGGAGACAACAGTTCCCATGACACCGCAACAGAATGGCGTAGCAGAGCGCATGAACAGAACTCTAAATGAACGTGCCAGAAGCATGAGGATACATGCCGGATTGCCCAAATTTCTATAGGCTGAAGCTATCAACACTGCAGCTTACCTGATCAACCGTGGGCCCTCAGTTCCTTTGGATGACAGAATACCAGAGGAAGTTTGGAGCAAGAAAGAAATCAACCTTTCACACTTAAGAGTGTTTGGTTGTATTTCTTATGTACACATAGACTCCGCTGAAAGAAGTAAACTTGATGCTAAGTCCAACAAATGTGCCTTTTTTGGTTACGGCAGTGATGAGTTCGGTTACCGGTTTTGGGACTATGAAAATTAGAAGATCATCAGAAGCAGAGATGTCATTTTCAATGAGAATGTGATGTACAAAGACAGGTCAACTGTAGAATTAAGCAGCTCCAATACCAAAGCTGAAACAAAGGAATTTGCTGAGTTCAAGGAGATTGTTGGAAATGATGTTCAGATCAGTCCTGAAGCAGTTCAAGAAGAACCAGGCACACCGGAACTAAGACGCTCCTCCAGAATTCCTAAACCAACCCAACGGTATTCTCCTTCTTTGCACTACTTGTTGCTGACTGACAATGGTGAACCAGAGTGTTATGATAAAGCAATGCAAGTGGAGGATTAAGTCAAGTGGGAGTCTTCCATGAAAGATGAGATGGACTCGCTTATGTCAAATCAGACATGGGAATTAGCTGAATTACCACCAGGCAAGAAAGCGCTTCACAACAAGTGGATTTACAGGATCAAAGAAGAGCACGATGGGAGCAAACGTTACAAAGCGAGATTGGTTGTCAAAGGTTTTCAGCAAAAAGAAGGTATTGACTACAATGAAATTTTCTCTCCAGTCGTGAAACTGTCTACTATCAGACTGGTATTGAAAATTGTAGCTGCAGAGAATTTACATCTTGAGCAGTTAGATGTAAAGACAACTTTCCTTCATGGTGATTTGGAGGAAGAAATCTATATGAGGCAACCAGAAGGCTTCATAGAGACAGGCAAGAAAAACCTGGTATGTAGGTTGAAGAAGAGATTGTATGGTTTAAAACAAGCTCCTAGACAATGGTACAAGAAGTTCGATAGCTTCATGAGTAGCAGTGGTTTTACCAGATGCCAAGCAGATCATTGTTGCTACATCAAGAGGTTCGACAATAGCTTCATTATTTTATTGTTGTACGTTGATGACATGCTCGTTGCAGGCTCAGACATGCAAGATATTATAAACTTGAAGCAAAAATTATCGAAGCAGTTTGCAATGAAAGATCTGGGTGCAACAAAGCAGATTCTTGGGATGAGGATTAAGAGAGACACAAATTCGGGGACTTTGATGTTATCACAGGCTGAGTACATCAACAAAGTACTCTCCAGGTTCAACATGCAAGATGCTAAACCAGTAAGTACACCTTTAGGTGTTCATTTTAGACTCTCCAAAGAACAGTCACCAAAGACGGAGGAAGAACGTGCACACATGGTGAAGGTGCCGTATGCCTCAGCAATTGGAAGTCTGATGTATGCCATGGTTTGTACCAGACCAGATATTGCTCATGCAGTGGGAGCTGTTAGCAGGTACATGAATAATCCGGGCAAAGTACACTGGGAAGCTGTCAAATGGATCCTCAGATATCTGCGGGGTACCACAAACAAAGCACTTTGTTTCAAAGGTGGAGATACGATACTGACAGGCTATGTAGATGCTGACTTAGCCGGAAATGTTGACATCAGAAGAAGCACTACAGGGTATGTCTATACTCTAGGAGGTACTGCAGTGAGTTGGGTTTCTCAACTACAGAAGATAGTTGCTCTCTCCACCATTGAAGCAGAATATGTCGCTGTTACGGAAGCCATCAAGGAGATGGTTTGACTCCAAAGTTTCTTGGAAGAGTTAGGCAAGAAGCAAGAAAACAATGTCTTGTATTGTGATAGTCAAAGTGCTATCCATCTAGCGAAGAATCCGTCTTTTCATTCCAGGACGAAGCACATACAATTACGGTATCATTTTATCCGGTCTCTTCTGGAAGATGAGATTTTGAAACTTGAAAATATTAGTGGAGCTCAAAATCCGGCAGACATGTTGACAAAGACGGTGACTACGGACAAACTGAAGTTGTGTTCAGCTTCAGTTGGCATGCTAGAATAACAAGACCAGAAATGTTGCTGCATTGATCAAGGTGTGAAGACAGATTAAAATCAGTCTTCAAGTGGGAGATTGTTGGAAGAAAAGTCAAAGGGGGGCACCAGCTTGCTTGGTGGGGGCACCGGCTTTGCTTGATATTTTTCAACAAAGGCAGCACATGGGCTGCTAGCTAAATGGGCGGCTGAGCAAGTGGGGCGGCTTGAATTCATTGAATTTGAGCAATGGGATAATCACACATTTAATCATTGTATTTTAGGGTATTTTCAAAGATTAGTCCCTAAGTTTCAACTATAAATACCCTAGCTCATTTAGCTTCAAAATTATCCCAAAATCTTCTAGTTCTCTCTCAAGTGTGTTTTGTAAACACCTGTAATTTTTTCCCTTTAGTAAAAGATCTGCAGCAGTCTGGAGACGTAAGCACAATTGGCTGAACTCCGTTATCAATTTGTCGGGTATTATTTTTCCTCTTTTATTTCATATTCTCACTAATCTGGCTATAGGGAAATTACTCGTACCCGGTTTATTTCCCAACACCATTTCCATCACTTCACCCACAAAAATCTAAAAGATAAAAGCAAATATTGTTTACAGACTAAATTAAACAACTAATGCTATGCTTTATTTCATTAAAAATTACAGAAGTGAGAATTCTTACCATCTTTTCCTCTTTGGTGACATCTTTTGGAAACCTTAGGAAAGCCGAGTAAATCAAGGATTCTCTGACTGTAACCTGGGGCGAGTGAATATCATTTTGTTCACAGTATCAAGAAATTCTAGCAAAGGTTTCTTGTATCTTGGAGTATCCCGAAATTCTAAAATCACCCTCGATATATCCACCGGTCTTTCTTCCCGCTAGAACATCCATCAATGTTGTCTTTCCTGCACCACTGACTCCCATCAGTTCAGTCAAGACTCCAGACCAGAATGCACCGGTTACTCATCGAAGTAGTTGTAACCTGTCTTCTGCAACACCTTGTGCTTTCATTTCCTGTTAAATAACTGAACTTTAGCTTTAGACCATGCTCTACGGTAACAATTATAAGGTTTATGTATTTATTTTGCTTTTGTTTTGGATGATAAGCTTATAGTCGTATTGATGTAGTGGTAACTAAAAAGAGTTGTTGAGAGTGGAAAAGGGAACTTACTGGCGGCATATCAACATAGTAATTGACAGTGTCGAACGACATTGCCAGAGGAGTGAAGGGAAGAACCATTCCTCTCTTGGGAGCAACACCACTGGCGGCATCAACAGAAGAATCATTCCTGCTCATTCCGTTGGGATTGGTTCGACTGCTCAATCTTTTGATTTCCATTTCTCCTAAAAGATTTTATTTGATATGATTAGCATAAATTGGTAACCAAGTTAAGAGAGAAGCAAGATCAACATAGTTCATTTTCTTATGTTTCTTACTCGAATTGTTTGCATCCACAGAAGACAGAGATCGAGAGAACGAATCTTTGCTTGATTTTGGTCTCCTTAACCTTGGTTCACCCTTGGAACCCTCATTGTTAGCCTCCAGCTCTTTGGCAGTTTCCTTTGAAATTACAGCCTGTGGCTTCCCAAGGGCTATTATGCCAACCAAGAAAATATACAAGATTAGCTACCTAAAGGAAAAAACACAGATGGGCAACATAATGGATACATTAACCTAAAAATATGTTAAAACTTACGGTTTAGATACATGAGAGCGAAGGTGAAGAGAATGTTGAACAACATTGCAAACCCTAAAAGAGCAGCTGCACCAATCCAATACCAGTTTTTATCCCAAGCTCGTAACGTTGTCCGAAGCCTGCATTGTGGACAAAGATTCCGCTTGTAACTTGCTTTCTTTCAAATGAAAGTATACATGCATTGTTATAGTTTTAACTAATTGGTATCTTTTGTCCCTGGAAAATTGAACAAATACCTTTTTGTTCATCCACCTTGGAGCAAATAGTTCATTCACAGTAAAGGCATTGTAACCATAAGTCAAAGGTGAAACCCAGTAAGCCCACTCCCACCAGTTTGAGATTTCACCTGTACAGAGAAAACCACTCCATATTACTCTTTTTTAAAGTTAATGTAGCTTCACTAGAAACTTAAGATATTTACAAACGCTGATAAGTGTAATTATCTTTTCTACTAATGCCGACCTTTATAATACTAATGCGTACCTTTTGGAATGATGAAGCCTCCGAGCAAGAACACGAGAAGAGTGAGAGCCCCACCAGTGTTAGCTATGATCATTGTTCTGCATATTCCAGCAGTAAGTCTAAAGAGTCCAGCTGCCATTTTTTGTACTAAAAACACCAACAGGAATGTCTTGAAAAACTTGTCAATAGGTTTGAGGGGTTAGCAAGTTAATACTAATTTGAGCTACTATATGACTTGTTACTCAAGTAAGAAAAAGTACATATTCAATTTACCTGCTGGCCTCAGGTGCAAATCCAGTAGTGTAATATGTTACGATCATCCAAACAGTGGATTCTAGAATAGATATTGGAACCCGGAGTAGGAACGTAGGCAGAGTGAAGGTCCAGACAGGGTGGAATAGAAGGTCTCTTTGCTTGTATAACACCAGAAGCCTACTGATCATCGTGGAGAGCTTGGAGAAACCGTTGAACATGTTGATGATCATTCCAAACAGAAGTGCATCGACATAGATTGCCGCATCTTGCTCATTCCTAGTGTGTAATTCAGTCCTCAAAAATACTGTGGAAGTAATGATTGCCATGATGATAATCTGGACTCTCTTGAAAACATAAATAAACGAATTCCTCTTGATCAATAGCCACTCTTTGTCCCAACAGGCCTTAAGAAGTTCCATTTTGGAGACCGAGTATTTTTTTAAAGGCCAATGCCGCTCTATGGCCTCTTGACTTGTCGAAAGGCACATAGATCTCGTTCTCTAACCTCACTCCAACATGGAAATGCCTGAACCTGTTTGCAAACTCTGTTACAGTAATGTATCTGTAGGGTTTACTCCTATCTGCCCTGTATCGCTCTTGATTCTTCTTTGAGTTAACCTGTCACAATCTCACTACCTTGTCAGCTTATGTTGCACTGTTTTCTCGTTCTAACTAAACTAAAACCGAATTTACTGTTATCAAGTAAGTTACAATGTCAACTGACAACGGCGTTTTAGTTCTACCTCTTGCAAGAAATCAGCTGTGCCTTTCCTTTCAGGACATTTGAAGCCACAACTCTCGAAGAACTCGACAACATGCTCACGCAGACCTTGGTAGACAATTTGGCCCTCTGATAAGAGAATGATATCATCAAAGAGGTCGAAGGTCTCGGGAGCCGGTTGGAGTAGGGACATCAAGATTGTGGCCTCCGTTAGGTGCACAACCACAATCTTCTGCAAACACTTAACTATCTGGTATGTCGTGGAACTGTCAAGGCCCGTTGATATTTCGTCCATGAAAAGCGTCTTGGTAGGTCCAACAATCATCTCCCCTATAGGTCATCAAGTTCATTACATTATTATTATTTGTCAACGAGAAAGTAAAGACAAAATTAAGCTAAAACTATATACGTTTGCGTATAGGAAGGGTTGGTGGGAGATCAACTTTGAGATATGGTCAAATAAATGTGAACATCTTGCATTTGCCTTAGTTTTTCAATCATGAAATCATTGGGGGTAATTAGTAAGGTGGGTTTTCGCTTTTCAATGTTTCCCACGTGTCTTTTTGGTGGAAGCAAATGATTTGTAACTGCTTTATATGTGATAAGCATGAGAAAAATGATGGATTAAGATCAAAACAAATAGATACTAATAATTACAAAAGGTTTATGGGACGAAAAATAATCAATCTGTTGTTACTCTCTTCTTTTGACCTCCAGAAATGCCCCTCTGCATCTCATCTCCAGCAATGGTATCTTTGCTATGTCGAAACCCAAAAGCTGATCAATTCAACAACATACGAAAACCTTACGTTAGCAAAAGGCCATTTCCATGGTTAATGACTCTACTTTCAACTAGCAGGTTATTGGAAGAAGAAAGGTGGCCGGGGTATAGGGCCCATATTATCCACCGACTGTATGTCATTGTCGACCATGAGTCAAAAGATGGTAGGTGAGGCTACATTTCTGACAAAATGAAATTCTAAAATATTCCATGATCGAAGACCTTGGTTGATTTTGTTGGACTACAAGATTTTTCTAGAAGTAAAAAGATGGTAGATGTTGAAATTCATGCATAAGAAATATGATTTTTTTAATTCACTTACTTTGAGAGTGTAATCAGTGAAAAGGCTGCTTTCAACTCCCATTGCAGTTGCCTGAAGATCCACATGCATGATGCATGTTATGTTATGAGAACATTTGTGAAACTAACACACAAATGACAAACTAACAGATTATGATTCTGTTTACCTTCATGAAAAGGTCTACATCAGCTTCTGGGAAAATTCCTGCATATTTTTCCCTTCTAGCAAGCTCACTTAAGAGATCTACACCAAACACAACACTTACAGGTTTGTGTAATTCGTCAATAATTTTGGTACTGCTCAAATTGTGGTTAGTTTTTTATCTTCTTTTTTACCATATCGAATGCCAACACCCTGTCATCTTGCTGAGAAATCAAAGGTTTCTTTCACTGTCATTTCTCCGACATGAACATCATTCTCGCTGATATATGCAGATGCCTTTTTCGGAACAAATTCATTCAGTCTATATCCATTATATGTTACTTCTCCTTTAACCTGTGTTTCACTCATCCCCCAAGAAAAACAAAAATCAGCTAATTTTTCTTTGACAGTCACGGTAAATCTTAAAGACTTGTGAGAAAAATTACTAGGATAAAAGTTAAAAGTGAAAATGAGTGACTGTAACTGACCCTTAAGCTTGGATCCAACTTGCCCGCCAATGCCAACAAAAGGGTTGTTTCCCAGAAGAAGATGGATAGTAAGTGTGCCATCCTAAAAGCAAAAATAAATAATTGGGATTATCATGTAGAATAAATATACTATCATTATATCAACTATAAGGTGTTCAAACTATTATTGCGGAAGACGGCTATCAGATAGAGAAAAATCGCAACTGATAATTTGAGAAAATAAAAATAAAGATAAAGAAGGCACAAATTTTACGCGGAAAACCCCCTAAATAATATAGGGTAAAAACCACGGACAACGGTAGAAGAATTTAACTATGAGAAAATAGGAATTACAACTTCTCTCGATCTAACAAGGATAAAACAATGACAATTCTCTCTTGATAAAAAGGAGAAAACAACTCTCAAGAAAACTCTCTAAATTCTCTAGTAATGGGAGAAAGCTAGAATGATTTGGGATGGTTTTGAAGCTAAATGAGCTAGGGTAATTATAGTTGAAGCTTAAGGACTCATCTTATAAATACCCTAAAGTTTAGTGACTAAAGTTTGTAATTTGCCCATTTAATTTTCAACCATTTTTGCACCTAATTTTGACATTGTATATTCGGTGCCTAATTTGGACCAATTTTCAGCAGCCCAAAGCAGCCCCATATGCTGCCATTATAGAAAAATAGCCACCCATGCTTTGACATTTCAAGAATCTCCCACATGAAGATTTGATTGGAACAATCATATATTCACACCATTCTTTCTACCTTGTACCATCATGTTGCTTACGTCTCTGACAGGACACAAGAGGATCGACACCAGGTAAATTTATCAGCATTGATTGTCTTCGTCATGAAATCTGCTATGTTGTCTTTGGTATGGATTGTAACATCCTCAATATCAGGTTAGTGATCTGATTGTAAAGTTTTAGAATTTGGTGACTAAAGTAGAAGAATGAAATAGTTCAATGATTTATTTTGAAATATTACTTGAAAGATGTTAGTAATTATAAGGTGAATTGAAGGGAAAATGGGTCATTTGCAAGGAAAATATTTAAATATGGTTATATATTAAACACGTGGAAGGGAAGAGAAAACAAAGTGGTTTCCAGAATTCTCTTTATCTTTCTTCTTCCTTCACGCGTGAAAGCCAAGAGCCAAAGGTGAGTTTTCTGATTATTGAGTTCTTGGTTAAATTTAAGATTTGAGTTTTGATTATTAGATGATAATTAAGCTTAAAGAAAGCTTAAATCATCTTAAAAGCAAAGGATGGTGGAGTTAGGAGAGATTAAAGATTTAGAGTTTACAAATGAAATCTTGGAATAGAGTTCATTACTCAAATTGGAAGATAAATTTGACTTGTCAAGGGTTAAATTAAGAGATATGAAGTGATAAAATGAGTTTTAAAACATGTTGAAAATCTGGTATAATTCTTGAAGTTAATAAAGAGGAGAGGATATTAAGGTTCAAGACGAGATAAATGAATATAAATGAGTTTAAATAGGAGTAAGTAAGTTAAGAATACGAAATGGAATGATATATGAAGTAATTAAGTTGAAAAGAGGGGATTTTCGGGCATAAATTGGATTTTTGGGCTATGTGCATCGATGCACATTCAAGGTGCACCGATGCATCAAGGGTAAATTTCCAGAAATTTTTCATTGTGTATCGATGCACAGGAAGTGCATCGATGCACCCATTAAAAATGGAAACATCGAATGCAATTAATGCATCGATGCATAAGGAGTGCATCGATGCACATATTAAGGGATGCATCGATACATTGTAGAATGCATCGATGCACTTCAAGGGAAATAGAATTATACCTTTCTTTTGGTCTAAGAAATGATAGATTAGATTATATCAATTGGATACTAATATGTATCAATGTATGATTATATAGATATCGAGCACGAACAAGTCCCGGAACAATTATCAAGTTATGATTCGATCGCAAGAGAGGAAATTATAAAAATGGATTGGAACTTCGTGAGGCCAAGGTGAGTGTGTATTATTTTATATATGATGTTTAATGGGAAATAAGACTTGCGACAAGTCTAATTTCTATAGTATTGTGCATGACGCATGAACATGAACATGTGTTTGTTATGAGTGTCTGAGCTATATGTTATGGTATGTGTTGACATGTTATTATATACGTATTTCATGGTTGATGTGAATATATGCTATGTTATGATGATATGATAAGAAATTATATGAATATAAAAGAGAAGTTATGTGATAAGATCGTTGAGATATATAGAAGTGGAATATAAGATTACACGAATACATGATAGGAGATAAATTAAGTAAAAATATGGGAATATGGTAAAAAGCGAGTTTAGAAGAAATGATGGGAATGAAGTACTCAAGTGTAAAGGTTATATAAACAATAAGAATGTGAGTTGGGTAAGTTAATAGTGGTATGAACATTTATGTGAAATAGTAAAATAGAATTATATCATTGAATGAGAATTGAAACAAGATAGATAATATTGACCTATATGATGATATGAGACTTGAACATAAGTGATAATAGGAACATATAAGATGAGTTAGATGGGAAAAATACATATGCTTAAATAAAATTATGATATATGGGTTGTATGATGGAAATCTACGTAGTCATATTAGAAAGTTATAGGTACTATATGAATTGAACTAGGTAAATAGATTAGATTAGTATATAAATGAAATAATAAAAGTGACATATGTTTATGAGTATGACAGATGTGATATGATCTAGGTGAATATCATAGAATGAGGTATAAGCTATTTGATATGAGATAAGTTATTTTATACATATATGATATAAGCTATTAATCAGGACATATGAGATTATGAGAAGAAGAATATAAATGATGTGAATACAAGTATAGGAAAAATGATATATATATATATATATATATATATATAGGAAGATGAATTATATGAATACACATTTAGATGAGGAAATGATGGATTATATGAACATGTGACTATCTATATATATATAGGATAAGATATAAAAATAAGATATAAGCAATGTGACAAGAAATGTGAAATAATATGAAAAATAGATATGAGCTACGTGATATGTGAAAGTGATTTACGTGTTTATACGTATATGTGATTCAACTTATGTGACATAATCTACGTGTTATGTGAAAGTGAACTACGTGTTTATGTGAAAATGTGAAATGACATAAATGATGATGCCCATGTTATGTGTCATGAGAGCTAGGGTATAGTTGGCATGCCAAGAGTCGAGGGTCTACGCGGTCCTTCGAGACATATATGTATTCTTTGGAACATGTGTGAGGTCTTTTGAGACACATACTTGATCCTTGGCATATGTATATGATTCTTAAGGAATGATATGTGGTCCTTAGGGATAACCTTATATGGCACTTCGGTGAATTTCTACGTGGCACTACGGTGCAATTCTATGTGGCACTTCGGTGCATTTATACAAGCTGTGGTGACAACATAGTGCACAACCTCAATAGACTCACATATCTACAGTTCTCACATATGTACATGGGCTAACAAAGAGATAAAAATAAACATATATATTACATGTAAAGTATATGCTTTTGTGATATGAATTGTATTATATGATTGATATGATGATGTGTATAGTGTACATTTGATTACATGAAATGTTATATTGTTTTGATCAGATAGCATGATATGATATGTTCATGCATGATTAAGTAGTTAGAGTTACTTTAATGTGTTTGATGCCTCACTGAGTCATCAACTTAGTGTGTGATTGTTTCACACTTAGGTTACCGAAGTGAGAAGAGTAAAGAGCAATGTGGAGCAAGACATGTCAGTTCTCCTTACCAAAGGTCAGATCAGAAGAAAGGTGAATAATATGTATTTTAATACATAAAGTTCTAGTTGGCATGTATTCAAGATAATATATTGTATAAGCTCTGAATAGTTCGATAAAGGTTTTGAATAAGTTATATGTAATAATAAATTTTAAATTACTCACTATTTTATACAAGTAAAGGTTTTTGAAAAGTCAATGTGACACTTCGGACTCGGATCCGGGTCGGATACGGGTTGGGGGTGTTACATGGATATTTTGCATATCTACCGTTCCTCCTTCCACCTTTTCACGAATGAAATGGTATTGAACTCATATGTGTTTTGTCCTTGAATGAAATACTGGATTCCTTGCTAAATGCAAGGCGTTTTGACTGTCATAAAACAGAGAGACATTACTCTTGATTGTGCCCAAGCTCCTCCAATAGCATTTTTAACCAAATTGCTTCTTTACTGGCTTGTGTAGCTGCTACATATTCTGCCTATGTTGTGGATGTAGCCACAACTGATTGCAATTTTGTAACCCAGCTTACAGCTCCACCAGCAACTTTGAACACATATCTTGTAGTAGATTTGCTTTTATCCAAATCCCCTGCATAGTCAAATCTACATACCAATTGATTAGTAAGTTTGATCCTCCATAACATAATGCAACATTTGAGGTCCCTTTGATGTATCTCAGGATCCTCTTTACTATATTCCAATGCTCTTTGCCTGGATTCGCCATGTACCGATTAACCACTCTCACTTCTTGTGCAATGTCTGGTATTGTGCATATCATAACGAACATTAAACTTCCAACTGCCGATGCATACGGTACTCGAGACATCTCCATCTTCTCTTCTTCATTGCTAGGACTCATACTGGAGGATAATTTGAAGTTAATAGGAAGAGGGATATAAATTGGCTTACAATCTTGCATGTTGAATCTTGACAAGATCTTCTTCAAGTAATTCTTTTGTGAAAGCCAAATATTCCTATTATTTCTGTCTCGGTGAATTTGCATCCCTAGAATCTTGTTTGTTGAACCCAAGTCCTTCATTTCAAATTCCCTAGCTAGTTGTACCTTCAATTCGTCAATATGATCTTTGTTGGGTCCTGCAACCAACATGTCATCCACATACAATAACAATATAACAAAATCGTTATCACCAAACATCTTGAAATAAGCACAAGGGTCTGCCTTAAGTCTATTGTATCCAAGACACATAATGAAGGAATTAAATCTCTTATACCAATACCTCGACACCTGCTTTAAACCGTACAGAGATTTGTTCAACCTGCAAACCAAGTTCTTCTTTTCGTCTTCTTCAAAACCTTCAGGCTGGAGCATATAAATCTATTCTTCAAGATTTCCATGAAAAAAGTTGTTTTAACATCTAGCTGCTCTAGATGTAAGTTCAATGTAGCACACATTGCCAAGACTACTCGAACTGTTGTTAGTCAAACCACAGAAGAAAATATTTCATTGAAATCAATACCTTCTTTTTGAGCATATCCTTTTACCACCAGTCTTGCACAATACCTCTCCACTTGATCATCGTCATTTCGCTTGATTTTGAAGACCTATTTGTTACCAATTGGTTTCCTTCCTTGTGGTACTGGCACAAGATCCCATGTATAATTTTTATGAAGGGCTTCAATTTCTTCTTGCATCGCCATCATCTACAGTGAAACATCTGAGCTGTTTATTTCCTCCTCGTATGTTGATGGCTCACCGTCCTCTGTTAAAAGACAGTATGCAATATTACCTTATATAACATAATCTGAGTATCAATTGAGACATCTTCTCACACGATTTGATTGACGAGTTGTTGGAGCTTCAGAATTCTCTGGTTCTTGTTCATCATGTGCTGGTTCTGCTTCAGATGAATCTCCTTGTTCAACCTCCTTTTCCACATGTATCTATGTAGTCTCTGACTTTTCAACACTATCATCGTCTTCTTTTCTTTGTAGTTTATCTTCTATAAAGATAACATCCCTGCTGATAATCACTTTGAGGACAGTGGGATCCCACAAGCGATACCCCTTTACACCATCAACATATCCCAAGAATTTGCATTTCCTGGATTTTGGATCCAGCTTTGAAATTTCTTGGGAGTTGTACATCATGTACACAATACTTCCAAATATATGGAGTTTTGAATAATCATCTGGTTTACCAGTCCACATCTCCATTGGTGTCTTCAGCTTTATTGTAGTTGATGGAGTTTGATTCACCAAATAACAGGCAGTATTGACTGCTTCTGCCCAGAATGATTTTTCTAGGCATACATCCCTCAACATTGCTCTTGTTCTTTTTAACAAGGTTATGTTCATCCGCTCTGCCACTCTATTTTGTTGAGGAGTGTTCGCCACTATGAATTGTCTTTTGATGCCTTCTTCCCTGTAAAATTCATCAAATTCTTCACTTGTGTATTCTCCTCCATTATCTATTCTGAAACAATTGATTGAAGTTTTTGAAAGTTGAAAACACATATGACTTCTTCTTAATAGGGTACACCCAACATCTCCTGGAGTAGTCATAAATAAATGAGACAAAATAGTTTGCTCCACCTAGAGATGTAACTGGTGCTTGCCATATGTCAGAGTGAACCAATTCTAGAACACTTTTTCTTCTAGAATTTGATGTGTTGAATTTCAACTGGTGTTGCTTACTTATTATGCAATGCTCACACAATGTAAGTGATACCTTTGTTAAGCCTAGAAGTAGCTTTTGCTCAACAAGGACTTTCATTCCTTGTTCTGAAATGTGTCCAAGTTTCTGATGCCATAGCATTGCAGAATCTGAACTACATGAGGCAACAGATGCTTCTGCTTCTAGCAAAGTCTCTCCCTTAAGCATGTACAAGTTTGTTGTTATCTTTTCGCCTTTCAGTACCACAAGCGCTCCACGGAACACCTTCATGATTTTTTTCCGTGTTTCAATCTTGCTTGCATTATTATCCAACAATCCGTAGGATAATAAATTTTTCTTCAGGCCTTTCACATGCCGCACATCTCAAACAACTTTAATTATTCCATCATACATCTTCAATTTGATGGTTCTCACGCCAACGATCTCTAAGGCATGATCATTGCAACTATACACAGATTCTTCTGAGACAGGTTCATAATGATGGAACCATTCTCTTCTTAATATCATGTGATATGTTGTTCCCGAATCAACGAGCCATATATCTGCAAATCTCTTTCTGCCTTCCACGGTGGTCGATGCTTCACAGCATAGAGCATCTCCATCATCTGAAGTGTTTACGGTATTACCTTGTGGATTGGAGTTTTTATTTAGACTCCACCAATCCTTCTTCAAGTGACCATTCTTTCCATAGTTGTAGCACTTTAAATTCTTTTTGCTTCTTGACTTCGATCTACCACGTTTGTGACTGCTACTTTGGCCACGTTCTGTTGATCTTCCTCTCATTGTTGTCAACGCTTCTGCTTGTTGCAGATTTACTTATCTGTCTTCCTTGTTCTTGCGCCAATTTTCTTCTTATAAAACAACAACTGCAACATCATCGAAGACTAGAATGGTGACATTATTGTTTGTCAAGTTGATGATGAGTTGATCATACGAATCAGGTAGAGTTTGAAGTAGAAGTTCAAACCGTTCTTGTTCTCCTATTGTACATCTTAAGGATGTAAGCTAAGAAAATAAAGTGTTCAGTGTGTTTAAGTGCTCCGTCACTGAAGTAGATTCTGGCATACGGAGAGTGTACAATTTCATCTTAAGGAAAATTTTATTGTGTAATGATATGGCCTCGTACAATTTGGCGAGATGATCCCATATCTCCTTAGCTGTCTTCTTCTCCTTGATGCTTGACAATACTTCATCTGCTAATGCTAGATGAAAGTTTTCCATATCATTCCCGTCCATTTCGATCCATTTTTTGTCATCTGTGAAATCTATCGGCCTTTCACTGATAGCTGCTAGACAACCATCTTTTCTCAGGATGGCCTTCATCTTTAATTTCCACAATGAGAAATTTCTCCCATTTAACTTTTCAATATCAAATTTCGTTGCCATAGCTTCTATTACAGATAGCTCTCACTATTTCACTATAGTGAATAGTTCTTTGGAACCTTCAAAGAATGGATAATACCTTCTTACTTTCTTATGTTGGATGATCCACCTTTTGGTGGCAACCACAAAGACAATAAGCAGATATTACACACTCAAATCTGGCTCGGATACCAATTGTTGCGGAAGACGGCTATCGAATAGAGCAAAATCGTAATTGATAATTTGAGAAAATAAAAATGAAGATAAAGAAGACACAAATTTTACATGGAAAACCCCCTAAATAATATATGGTAAAACCCACGGGCAACGGTAGAATAATTTCACTATGAGAAAATATGAATTACAACTTCTCTCGATCTAACAAGGAGAAAACAATGACAATTCTCTCTTGATAAAAAAGAGAAAACAACTCTCAAGAAAACTCTCTAAATTCTCTAGTATTGGGATAAAGCTAGAATGATTTGGGATGGTTTTGAAGCTAAATGAGATAGGGTATTTATAGTTGAAGCTTAAAGACTAATCTTATAAATACTCTAAAGTTTAGTGACTAAAGTTTGTAATTTGCCCATTTAATTTTCAACCATTATTGCACCTAATTTTGATATTGTATATTCAATGCCTAATTTGGTGCCTAATTTGGATCAATTTTCAGCCGCCCAAAGCAGCCCCATATGCTGCCATTATAGAAAAATAGCCACACATGCTTTGACATTTCAACAACTATACCTTGATGGTTTAATAATTCCAGAGGCATCTTTAAGAATAGTGAGATTAGTTGTCTTGGCGAGTCTGATTCCGACCATTCCGAGAACCGACTCAAAGATGTTTCTAGCAGCATTTGGAAGAGAAGGAAGAGCCCAGCTGCCGATGTAGCAGTCGGCTTCTATGGTCAGGTGCTCGAACCTAACTTCTACGGTCGGAAGTCGAATCCCGACCCTGTCATAATTGTAATATGAGTGAACATATTGCAATTCATATGGTTCAACACAATCAACAACTACGGCAGACTAATGTATATGTACAGGTTAAGTTGAGAAATTTGTCAATGAAATTAGGTTAAGTTGATGACTAGTCAGGAAATAAGAAAGGAAACCTGACATAATACTTAAGTAATGATGATTGACAAAGAGTTTTTATGAGGAAAAAAAAGTAGAAAATTTTAAAACAGAATCAAACTTACTTATCAATCCTGTTTCTAAACTTGCTCAAGAACCTCTCATTGTCTTCCTCGGCAACCCTGAAGAGCATATCAATGAACTTCTGCCTGTCATTCACGTTAAGCTAGGTAACGTCGACAGCTCTATGTTCCACCCTCTTCCCGACAATCTCATGGTCCACAAACGATTGCATGATGCTGGTTCTGAGTCGATCATACGTCGGTAGCTTCTCGATGGAGGCCCATTTTAGAGCTTCTTCATCTTCATCAACTCGGCTACTCCTGGAATACTTGGAACCTGAGAATACATCCTCCATGCTCCAGCTACTCCTGCTTAGGCTCCTCCCTATGCTGCTATGCCCAGTTCTTTTGCTGGGATTCCTTGCTTTTTCAATACCTTCCATATCTTCTGTAATCCCTGGATCCACATGTGAACAATCCATGTTAATTTATTTGGTTAATTCACGCAAAAAATGAAAAAGCCTAATGACAACCACTTTTTACGTTGGTTGAAACGAAGCTTTCAATGCTTTGTAAGCAAAAACAGCATCTGAACGTCAAAAAGAATACCACTGGTTATGCTGAAAAATACAAAACAGAGGAAGCCATTCTCGAGGATTTTCTTTACTGTTTTCTCAGCAAACAAACAAACAAAGGTAAATCCAATGAATTGCAAGCAAGAAAAGAACTCACTGTGGAAAAGCAAAACCGACTCTGATTTTTGAGAGAAATAACAGAAGATAAGAGTTTTGGTGTTATTTGTAGTTTATGACATCGAGAATCTGACTGCTCTTTGTTTCTTCTTCTTCTTCTTCTTCTTCTTCTTCTTCTTCTGTTTGTCAGCTCTTCTGGTTGTAAGGTGCAGAGATTAGAGAAGATGGGTGCAAGTGAAGGACAATGCTTACATATATGCAATGCTCTGTGCTCATTTTTGAAAATTATTTAATTTGACAGGACAGATGTGATAAAATATGATAGGCCGTGATCCAATATGCAAGAAATGCATAGGTCGGTCAATTATTGAATTGAAAGTCGAAGTTACGGGTGTTGGTAGATTAATGCAATTGTAGAGCACAAAATTGAAAAGAAAAAAAGGGTCTTAAATATAAACTTTGTTTGGACGTACCTATAAAGAGTGGTGAGAGTATAGCAGTGTAGGGCAATTATGGCAAAGTGAACGTCAAAGAGGATGAAGGAAATATTATTATCCCTCGATTATTTTCCCTATTCTTCATTCTAAGTTTCCATAATTGGTTTAGCCTTAAATACAAACTTTGTTTTTATACGATCAACGCTAAAGATTATTGTTTTAGAAAGTCTTCGATTCGAGTAGGTTTTTTTTAATAAAGGGAAGGTTATTCTTTTCAAAATTCTTGGATTCGAGTACGTTTTTCTAATAGAAGCCGATAATCTTATTAAAATGTGAAAATATTTAAAATTACAATAAGAGCTTACAATCAGCATTGTAAACTAAATACATAATTTGAACATTTTACTATAACATTGAAACAAGAAACTAACCACTTTATATCATACAATGACCATACATGAAAAAGGTTAAAAATTCTACCAAAATACTCAAATGATAAATAGATAAGAACAAATCTGACTGCATCGGCAAACGAATCACAAAAGGAGTTTAGCTATTGAAAAACCATCAAAAATCATAAATCGGAGCGGAGTTTCATGAGAAACTATCCAGTACCGAAAAATCACGTATTCAAATTCAATCCAATGGTCCAAAGCAGGAAAGATCAACGAGAATATAAAATAAGCATCTTCTTGATCAGTCGTGGCGTTGTTAAATCCAATCATAAAATAATAGAACTGACGATCGTCGACCATTATCAAAATCGGTGTCTCCATCGACAAAATAAAATTAAAGAAGAAAGAACTGATTTAATCTATAGAGAACAACACAAATTCTAAAAAAAATAAGCGGCAAAAGAATTTAGATAGCGGTGTGAGAAAGCAACCATGAAAGTTGAGAGTGATGAAAGATCAGTGGTTTGAGTTAGAGAACGACAACTGTGGGTGTTTGGATTTATATCCAGGAAAATAAGAAAGTGAATGAGGAAAGCACTAAAGGTACTTTTATTGTAACTATGACTTATGTCAATTACAAACTAAACTTGGGTATTTTATAGCCCAAATATAACAACTCAATAACAACTCAAAACAGATTTAACAAACTAACAACTAATTATTTCTAACATTCTCCCTACTTTCTCAACCCTCTTGAGCTTCAGAACTTGACTCGTTCAACATTCTCCACTTGGCTGGTTCAACATTCTCCAAACTGTTTGAAGTTGAAGTACTAAATGAAATGCGAGTTGGTACCCGAAAAGAAATATTCTTCCTTTATTCTCTATTTTGTTCTTTCCAAAATTCTTTCAAAATTCATTTTCCCTTAACTAGGCGGTCTATCGAGAATCGAAAGTGTTATTCAAAATTCTTTCAAAATTGATTTGAGATATGAGTGATATCCGTGTGCATTGAATCATTCCAAAGCAACTATATGCCACCACTAAAGCCATGAGATTCAACTCAGAAGAAATTAACAAAACCCATCCTCGACACCACCTTATCAACATTCCTTCCATAAATCCGAGTCCCAAGTAGAGCCACCATACAAGGACGATATTAATCACTAACAAACTATTTGAAGTGCCTACTGAAAGTTACACTTGCAGCCCTTTGACAATTCCAAAACATGAACTTATCCATAAAACAAAACAAGACAACGAAACAAATCTTATACTCTAAACGCAGAAAATGAATCATCAAAGAAGATTATCAATCACCAATCTTGTTTTCCAAGTTCCAAACCAAGATGTTGCTGAGAAATAGAAGTCTAAGATGCCGCTAAAGTACAAAAATATGAACAAAAAAAACTGCACTCAACTCCAACAAAGCAGGAAATCATACTAGTAGAAGGAATCACACTTGACCTTATACTCAACTCACCTTGGAAGAAATCACACCTCGGATGAAGTTTCAGCCCCAATGAAATTTGTTAACAAATGAGGGCTTATGGTAGAAATAACCACGAAGACAGACGCAAATTTCAGCAAAGGCAGGAAAACGAAACTCAAGAACTAATCGCAATCCCTAACCAATACAGGAAAAAAATCAAGAATTCAAGTCTGAAGTTACCAAATTGAATATGCAAATCTTTGACTCAAACAACACACAACTGATTCGGAAGGATGATCGATAGCAAGACCATCAAAAGCTCTGAGATATGGTCATTAACGGCTGCGGAAACAGTTACTATGGCTCTAGAACTGTTCGACGAATGATACCATGTGAGAAAGCAACCATGAAAGCTGAAAGTGATGAAAGATCGGTGGTCTGAGTTGGAGAACGACAACTGTGGGTGTTTGGATTTATATCCAGGAAAATAAGAAAGTGAAAGAAAAAAAACACTAAAGGTATTTTTATTGTAATTATGACTTCTATCAATTACAAACTAAACTTGGGTATTTTATAGCCCAAATATAACAGCTCAATAACAACTCAAAACATATTTAACAAATTAATAACTAATTACAACTTATTTCTAACAAGTGGCGCTTGGGCTCGAGTAATTATGTTTACAATATACGTATATTATTAATAAATTAAAAAAAATCTAAACACATACTAGCTTATAATCACACCAAATTATTTAAAAAAAACATTGTGTATAGGCAGAGAGTATTAACTCACTACTAAAATGATCAATCTTCATTTTTTAATCTACCCTAAAAATAATATAATTCAAATTTAGATGCAAAGATTAACTAAATTAACCTCTTCAAAAAGAGTAAATTTTTATTTTTAAAATTTCATGATTCTTTTACTTTCCTCCACAGATTTTTTAATTAGTTTTTTATTCATTTTATTTTGTACCACATGTTTGTTTGGTCGCCTTTTTAGTAATAAGAGATTAAATATAATTAATTTAAACTTATGATAGTAAAAATAAAAGTTGCTATTACATGATTAATTGGTTTCTAATTCCATTTTGGTTTTTTTAGATTTAATATTTCATGGATATTTGCTTTTCAATTTTCCATTGACATTGGATTGTGGTAGGAGAAAGATTTGGAGTGGAATTGTACAAAATATTCATGACAGTTCCCACCCTCTAAGCAAAATGATGTTTGAAACAAACTTGACCAACTCCATTGACATGTTCTCCCTTCTAAGATCCCACCCCAAAACAAAATTTTGCAATGGCAAAGCAAGATTGATATCTTTTACCATGTATACACGCATATATATATAGATGGCAATCGGATCGTTTGCATCGAATACAAATCCAGCTATTATGGGTCTAGATTATATTAGGTTTGGTTCGAGTTGAACCAATATAATTTAAATTTAGTTCGAGACTATGGTAAGTCTGTTGATATCAAATTGATCATTTTTCAGACCTGGTCATATTAGATTGATTGAGTTCTAATTTGGGTCATTATCAGATCGATCGATTTTTAGTTTAAGTCAATATTGAATCGGTTAATTTTTGGATCGGGTTATCCTTTAGATCTTTAGGTCAATTTGGTTTGAGTTGAGTATGAGTTCAATAAATATAAATAAAATTATTGATATATTCTTAAAGAAATAGTGTCTTTTTATTTGTTGATTTTATGATTTAGGCTCAAATTTAACTCTCATATTCAATATTCAAATTCAACCATTATTTAATGATGATAATTTTACTTGAATTCGATCTTATAAGGTGTTTTAACTAGTAATATAATACATAATAAAATAAAAACATACATCATTCTACTATTTATTACACTGCTAAACATAGATAATAATAAAAATGAGTTATTCATTTGTTTTGACTCAAGTATCAGATAAAAATTGAGATGATTTTCGATTTGGATCATATTTAAACAAATTAAATTTGAGTTATTTTTAGTTTGATTAACATTAGTTATGGGTCTATATCGGTCCAGTAAAATATAGGTCGATTTATTTCAGTTTAGGGCATCATATTCAAATTCATATTGAATCTTGAGTTAGATAAATTGATTAAATTTTAAATTCATGATATTTACTTTTTACCATCATGTGCAATAAGACTCGCAGAGTTACGGTTGAGGGTGACGGGAATGGTGAATTAAACAAAAGTAAAATTGCCTTTCACGACCTTCACGGGTTACCAAACATAATCTCATCGTAGAGGCGATCTTCTCAACTTAATTTGTTTCGTTCATAATATTAAGATTCAAACTTTTAATCTTACTTAAAGAATTTAGCGTCTTATCTCACTAGACCAATTGATTATATTTATTACAATTTTGATATACACGCAATTAAGACATACACTTGTTATCTATTAAATAACAAGTGTATGTCTTAATTGGTGTTCCATCTTACATTTTAAATCATTAACATTCTAAATACAAATTGTAATTAAGCCTGTGTTATATGTAAAGAAAAGTATTTGATGCAGTAAATTTTAGTTTATATAATTATGCATATTTTTAATATTTTAGAATAAAGTATTTAAAATTTAGAGGTTATAATTCTGCATAATTTAATAAACAAATAATACGATAGTAAATTTAATTTTTTTTAAATGAAGCAATTTTTTACGATAAAAAAATTACTTATGCTTCAACAATAAAAGTAACCACGTGAAGATTTTTATTATATGTAAACTTTGGCAAAAGATTTAGCTTCCTTTTGGAAACTTGTTAGGGAGATTTAGAG